AACAATAGCTTTGTTAATTACTTTACCATTATCCCATTTATTATGCACTTTCCTATCTTATCTTTTTTCTCTTTCTTTAAATACAAATTGCGAAAATTACTGTTTATGAAAAACGCTGAATCAGAACATTGGTTATTTCATGTGTGCCGGGACTTATATGAGGAAATAGGATCCGAATACTTCTTCTGTCTCCCAGCTTAGCTGTAACTTTACGAGAAGCACTTTATTGCCCTGTAACAAGATTGACAAGTATCGTTAACCTTTTGTTTTTCTTAAAGCGGGCTTCGTCGGGAGCGTGTCACCGAATTGATCTGCTTTTGTGTACGGTCCGTTGCCAAAAGTTATTACGATCCTATCTATAAGTCGACCTCGCTCCTTGCGATAAAGCTATATAGCATTCCGAACGTATCGAATTAAAAAGCCATTTCGATGTAAATATGTAATACATACTTCGATGTATCGTTTTATTAAATACCTCGCTTAGAAAGGTCCATGCGCAAAATTTGTGAAATATAAGATAAAATTCTTTTTTTCATCATCAAACACCGGAATGGATAAATTGAGTGCGGCAGTGACACGCGCAGCGCCAATACGCGAGGCATCTGATATTTGACTTTATTTCGAAAGTTTTCCAAGTCGTATCGTTCATTCGTATTTATTAAAGAGAAGTTTTGTTTCTTTTCTTTGTCGCAGTCCAAATCTACAACTCAATATCAATCTTTATGACGTCATAACGTTACACGATGCGAAATTACGGAAAGTTACTCACAAAACACTATTTTAAGTTTTAACGAAGTCTTTACTTTAATAAATTAGTACATAAACCATGGCAATCAATTAAAGAGGTAACATTTAATTTATGCACATATGCATACGTCTTATATTTCTTCACAGCCCGTGGTAACTGGTAGATAATGCCAATTGGCTTTAAGTCCCATGGATTCCGTTTATGGTGTGCAATAAAGGATAAATATATTTTAGTAGTCAGTTAGGAGAGGCCTCGCGTCCGGAAATTCGGACGTGGCCATTAAATGTGCAAGGGTGAGTTTTTAAAAAATTTGAATACGCAAAAAGTGTCAACTCTTTGTCCCGAAGTACATCAAAAATTCTCGCCGCTTATCACATTTGGCACCAAATGAACTATAAGTCACGTAAATCATGTAGAGTATTAGCGGAATACTTGTTATTGGCGGTGTATATTTATTTGATTCTATGTATAAGGTGTCGCTTATAATAAATTACTTTGAAGAAAAGAATAGAGATCCAAATAAACATAGCCGGAACGAAAAGATCAAAGGCCGCCGCCGCCCGCGCACCCTCTCAAGCCCCGCTCCTGGTCCACAGTGTACCCCAAATATTTAATAAACGAGACATCCCCGTTATTACAGTTCCGGGTCGTAATCTAAATAAATTGCTCGGCGTTATTCGGGGGCAATCAGCGCTAAATTAATGCTGCCCAAATCGCTCGGGGAACTCAGTGTCGCGAATATTAAAGTCAAAGGTCGCCGCGCAGAGGGACCCGCGAGCGAACATGAACATTGGCCGGACGAGTGGCATTGTCGGCACACGCGGCGGTCGGCAACGATTGTTCGTTGATCGATGCACATCCATTTAGCCAACCCGTGCGCGCGTCTTTCATCTATATCTATACTATACGCGGAATCGAATAATTCGCAAAGGAATTCCAACAATTTATTGCACAACTCAATCGACCTTTTCGTGTATGGTACTCAAACTCATAACTAAAGGCCCCGTTCTACATAAATACAGATTTCGATACGAATTATTTATATGCGATTCTAATATACAATTTGATTATGAGATCATCGACATTATTTTATATTTTAATCATTTGCTAATTTTGATTTTAATCATTTGCTTTAACTGTCGTAATACTTAAACAAACGAGGTATCTTGGTGTTGATTGAAAAAATAATTGGCCAAAGAAACATTTGCTGGCAATATTATAATTGCGTTATTCTAGTTGAAATGAGCATTCAATAACAAGGTAGCAAATGTAAAAATTTCTTAAAGGTGTGTTTAAAATTTAATTTAACCTATATTGGAAATTTCCTTTGCTGTCTTTTTAAATTCCTTCCTATTTGCCAGTCGTATATTATTCAGGCGTGGTTGGGACATACACCTCCATGGTTCCAATTCCTCCTGCGAATTTCGGTCGCACCTCGCCCGCCGCAAATTCAATACCGTCCTGATATTTGGGGATCGATTATACGGTTTGTAGCACACGACGAAGACGATATTAACGCAAATTTAAATGGAGAAAAAAAACGAGAAACATTTCCATAAAGCGTGACCAAACACATATTAATTTAACGATGAGAAAGCCAAAGATGTTGTATATATGTATTGATATTACACTTATAATTAATACATATACGTGTATTATAATCATTATTTATACACCAATAACTACCATGTGTGACCAATCTCCAGAAAATAAAATCACTATCAAAAACGAAATCACTATTAAAAAAAATCATACCCTACCCCAGATTCTGATAGGAGACAAAGTATGGAAAACAAAGATTGTATAAAATCAATTAGCTAGTCACGGTTTTTTCGTTGCTAATTTGGATTCTAACTGATGAGGCTTTTTCTTCGTGAGTTTCCGACTATTTGTGTCATGGCTTTACAGAAAGAATATAATGTGAAAGAGCGTACATAAATATCGTTCATATCCATAAAAATCTCCGAAAAGCTCTTCTGACGCTACTTTCTTCAAATGTATAATACTGTCAATATCCTCGAGCGACTCTTGACACGTGAAACGTGCGGATTATTAATTGAACATTAAGATAATATGACATGTACGAGTAAGTAACATGTTGTCGTGCTATTTATACAAGGGCTGGAGCAAATATTAAGAAGAGTAGTCATTTAAATTGTTTATAGTGCTAATCTTTGCACTTAAGATTGAACATTAAAATATGTAGAAAAAGTGCGAAAAGATTGTCGCCGTTGTGGGAATCGAACCCACGTCTTCGGCAATATGTAGAAAAAAAAATTAATGTTCAATCTTAAGTGCAAAGATTAGCACTATAAACAATTTAATTTTCTAAAAAAGCAATGGCGACATCTCTCGTTCGAATTATCGTTGTAAAACGATATTCGAAATTGTTTGTATGCTGGAAAGGATATAACAATAGATGGCGCCAAGCATTGCTTCAAATGCTAAGAAAACAATGTGGAAGAATGCGTTAAGATTTTCGTCGGTGTGGCAATCAGCCGTTTAGCTCAGTGGCTAGAGCGTCAGGCCGCGAATGCCGAAGACGTGGGTTCGATTCCCACAACGGCGACAATCTTTTCGCACTTTTTCTACATATTTTAAGAGTAGTCATATCAAAACTATAGATAACGATTCCGAATTTTAGTTCGTAGTACATTGTGTTACTCTAGAAGATTTAAATAATCCCCGACAATAAAAAAATATATATTCTTTATGATGGAGATGGCTAAGCTATGCCTTGACGGCGCTCTAGATAAGTAAACCCTTTACGAGTAATACCCCAATGTGTCATAACTACGCATCGGAGAACAGGCGATGGCTAACACGCCCTGAAAATGAATGGTAGCGAAACGGCGGGCTATATGCGCGGGCAGCGATGTATCGCACTCGTTATCGGCAAACGATTGGGAACGTGCTCGCGGTGGTGATCACGTGTAAAGTATAACTAGTCGGAACAAATTAAATCTTTTTAAAAAATAAATCAATAACTCTATGAGGAGTATTTCTCTGCTGTTTGTAAGTCTCTTACTATGTAACTCGGCGAACCCATACTTACGCTACGCTATAGTTACGACAGCCTCGTAGGTGTATCCGGATGTTTCAATTCACTAAGAAAACCTCATTTAACTAAAAACAGGATCGATAAAAGATAGGAAAATGTAGAACAACCGATGCGATGCACGCCCTAGCGTCACACTGTACACACGCCACGTAGCAACGTTACGTACGGATGGATGTCGCGTGAGCAAAAGGCGGACGGAATGTGTGCAAATGTACACAGGGTACTTAGGGTACACAGTGCCCGGTGCAAATTGCCACGTGACGTGCGCAGCAATGCCGATGCGGCACGTTCGAATATCGCTCTTGAACGTTCAGGAAAATGTATTACGTACATTTTAAGCAACTTTTCGATCCGATTATGTACGACTCAACTAGACTATTGCAAATAATCCTTTTTTAGTCATACTGAAACCACAAGTAGGTGCTGCACATAGATTTATAAATTGGCTTCCACATCAAATTTTCATATAATTAAAATAACATTTTCAGTTTTCAATTATTTTTGCAATAGTTATAAAATCTCTAAAGAAAGTCACAGCGCGATTAAGTCGAATGACAATGAATTGGTAATTCTGATTCTGAGTATTCTAGAAAGGTTTATCAATATTTCTAGAATGGAATATATTTTACTGAAATACTATTAAATAATACTCCCTTTCTGGTTTAGGCGTTATTTAAAATTAAGGGATTTGTTTAAAAAAAATGCATATATAATGTTAATTTGATGAAGTTCTAACGCAGGCACACGTTTTAATTTTAACCGTTAATATTTTTTGCACAAATTGAAATCTAGATACATACAAAACGGCAAAAACTGAAATTCTGTAGGGAGTCGCACAGTTGACAGAATTCATTTTAATTTTTAAAAAAGTCTCGTGCACTAAGAACATTATAATACACACCCACCTATGATAGTTACTTAACCTTTGTATTCCTTTCAAGTGTTACCCGGATAAAAACTTTTCTGAAAACAAATTCGAAAACTCGTAAATTTTATCGTAATTTGCCTCTTAACATAATTTTATCATATGTTATTATATGATTAGTCATAAAGTAGAAGTTGCAGGTAAATTATACAAAATACATTTTCGGAACACCTGTTTGTTGTGGCTATACGATTGAAATGGCGAGACTTAGCCTCTGCGCTTGAATAATACTTTCAACGTACAAACGAGTAAATCACAGAAGCATAATGAAGCTCTGCCGTGGTGGAGAACGCGAAATAATAACAATTCGCGGGCCACAGTGTAGTTGGATATCGACCGCGAAACCGCTCGGGAAGCGGAGTGTCGAAAGGCAGGTGCTGAGTAATTGGGGCGCTCGCGGATATGACAGGGGCGATGTCGGGCTCCAATTGCACGTGACGGGCGGACGGCGGGACTATCCAATGAAACAATGTGGACCCCGCAGAGGGCCCGCGCCGCTCGCAACGGTGCGCTGCGAGTGACCCCAGTGAGCGATCGGGAGACCTATAGCGCTCTAACTATCGATCGTCTTACTTTAAGATTGGACATTTGTGGGCCCGACCGATAATTACTTTGTATCCATCTCGAAACGAATACAGTGCTCGAAGTAAGTTTCGTCTATGTTGTATGTTCTTCAATGCAACAGAGGAGATTATATGAATGCGTTAGGAACGACGATTTTCAGTCATGTCAGCTACTGAAAAATGATAACTTTCACGCAGACGTAGTAAACAGTTAGTAATAATAAAAAAAAATATGCGTTGTACATAATATACAATTTCATAATAGAATCAATACATATTAAATGGAATTATAATGCGTAAATGCGAAGTCATAATCTTTGCGTTTTAACAAATGTAGGAGGAATGCAGTAATGCAATCACCTGATCAGCTGTTCACAGCTCGCCCCCGGCCTTCAGTCGCTGCACAAATGTGCGCGCATTGCGAGTTACGCAATGTCTGAGTTTCAGAGCGAACTGTGTACGCGGTGCACGAGTGGCTCGCTCTCCCGCTGCGGATCGCTCATGCGAGTCGCAAGGCGCGCTTCGCTCGGTCCCCGCTCTTCCATCTCATTTGATGTACGACTCGGTGATCATATTCATTTCAATCTCCGTCTAACGTAAGACACATGGATAAAACATGAACTGAACACACCATAGTACTCACTACATGTCGAGTCCGGAAGATAATGGGCATATTTTGCATTTTTTTAAAAAAAAGCAAAATTAGTCTTCTTTAATGAAAGAATTGTACTATAAACACATATGAGCTGCATACGTGTACCTATATAATTGAAAGCAATTAAGAAGCGTTACGGTGCCGTGTTCCCGAACGTACCCAGGGGGCGTCGGGGGCTCATGCGCGCCGGGAGACAGCCGTGATGGACTATGATGGAGCGCCCGACATCGCCCAATTTGTTCGCGCCCCGCTCGCAACGTAAGCGGAGTCAGCTGCCACGCCAATAAGTGGCTTCTATTAATCGTGCGGATAAGGAAAAGAAGTATCGTTTTTCCCATTTTTCTTTTAGAACCACCCGAGTTCGTTACTAAATACTCTTGTATAAAAGATTCGACGATTAAAAATTATATTCGCATTGCTGCTACCAAGAGCCACGCACCCACACGACTTGTTCAATGTCAAAAACTATATCGAAGAGTTCACATGTCTTTCCAGACAAATTTAGAACGGTCTTGTCAAGTGGCCTGTAAGGACTCAATATTTCAAATTTAATTATTTTGAAAACTGTTTTCAAAACCCTTTTAAACGTAATACGTTAAAATTAGCAACAAAAATACATGGGAAAGTTTCTGGTCGAACATTTTTTTTTACAGAAACAAGTACCGTAACTCGTACCAGTTTGCATTAGTGACAAAAATACGGCATCTTATTTGAATTAATTATAATGACTATTATTTTGGCTCGATTGTCTTTCACAAGCATGTTCCAACTGATGGAACTACAGTTGGCCGTAAAAACCAATTCGATGGATATGAGATGGTTTCGTAATGGAGTTGAGATCGTGGCGTTCAGGTAGCGGCGGTTCCGGCTCGTAAATCAGTTGCACGTGAAGTGGGCGGCATTGGTGGCGGCCGCCGAGGCACCAACGGCAAATGCGTTTTATTGCGCGCCCGGAGCGGTGCCGGCGGGGGCCGACTGCGCGCCACAGAGCAGCCGACAGCGGTGGGGGAACTTAGGGAAAAGCAAACATGGAACCTATGAAACGATCAGTGTTTGTATTTCGAAATAACTGTTTGTGTATACTTCGAGAGACGAGAGCGATGAAGATTTCGCGTGTAGTAAATTGTCAGTAACGGGAGCACAGAGGTGGTCGCATGTGCGTTGCCTGCTTTTAACGTGCGAAGCCTTTAAGATAGTGGTCGTAAATGAGTTGAAATCAGAGAAAAGTTAAGAAAAATACAAATGCAATAAATATCAAAACAGTAGCTGCAAAGTAGTCGCATTGAGGCCCAGTCGTGTGCGCTGTGGCGCGAGAGGCAACCACGCGATAATCGCAGAGTTTAATCGATTTCGGCTCAGCCCTATAATAACGAAACGTTGCCGCGATTAACCCGACGCCATTTTCTCGGTGTAACGCGCATCTCCCATCAGTCAGCGGGGGCAGTTTGTGGTAGCGCACTGACTATAATTAATATCTGCTACTAGCGACCCGAAATGTTTGTTTTCGACATCGCATTAGAAACCTTTTTTTTTATGCGAAAAGTTGTCAAACGAGCAGACGGTTCACCTGATGTTAAGTGAATACCGCCGCCCATGGACATCTGCCACACCCGAGGATTACAGATGCGTTGACAACCTTTTGAAAATTGGGCTCCGGCCACCTCACTCACCAGACGAAACGCGAAAGTATTTGTCATACTTCCACTTTACGCTGGTCTTCTGTGAGGTCGTGGAACTTACCCGGACGGACCTGACGGGCTGCTGCGTGGCCCTACCACTAAAAAATAATCAGTGTTTCTCTACTATACTATACATGAATTACACATAAACCTTCCTCTTGAATGACTATCTATATTTATGAGAACTGCATCAAAACCCGTTGCGAAGTTTTAAAGATCTAAGCACATATTGGGACAGACAGACAGCGGGACGACTTTGTTTTATATTATGTAATGACAAATGCGTTCTATCACAAACTGTGTACCTACCCGTCATTTATTAAGGCATATTGAAATAGACCGGTGACCAGCAATCTGCACTTGGTTTGTTTAGCCGGTACAACGATATTTTTTAATAGCGGACAATCGAATGGGAAAAGTGAAGCTAGCAAACTACAATATTCCATAAACATAACCTATAGAACACCGAAAGGCAGTCTGGGCTGGTTAGAATGGTTGTAACAATATCAGGGTCATCAATAAGTAGGCCATCAACTCTTCGCAGGCCTCTCCGCTGACTCAATAGCAGCTAGATGGCATACCCTTGTACATAATGTTCACAAGCGCACTTACTTACATAATCAGGAAAACGGTATGCCGTCTATACCATCAGTCTGCGCCATTAGTTAATTGTGTCCAACTTAAGTTATTACGTCTCAAGAATTCTTCGCCCGTAAATGCGTCGGCGGCGGCAGTAGTTTCGTCAGCCGTATAATTGTGAATTAGGACATTCAGAGCGCTGAGCCATATGGGGAGGTAAGTCAATGTCGATAAGGGAGGCTATAATTCCACCGCGACCAACGCGCCCGATTATTTGCCGGCGTCATTTTGCCCTAATAACCCTTAATGGGCACACGTGCCTCGTAATTATTTTCGCCCCACGCGAATCTTTTCTTTACGCGTGGCCAACATTCTCAGGGATGAATTATTTTCCCAGTGTTAAACATGTTTTAGGAAGACTTTCCAATATTTGCTTTCACTTCATTTAAAATTTTAGCACAAATGTTTTTGTATAACATTCAGATAATATTTCAAAGTATTAAGGATTATAAGTACTCTAAGCTCTTAATGTTTATTTTACAGTAAATCCTCGCATTCTTAAAGCCGGGCGCCGCCTACACGATATCGTCGCGACAAGGTCACATAAATAAACAAGCATTCATAAACTCGGCTTACTCAAATCTTTAATAAATCCCTGATCAGCCATACTAGCAAAAGACCCTCTTAAAACCGGTACAGGCTTACATAGGGCTACTAAACAAAAACTTCAATTGAAATGTTAATATTTAAATTTTAGTCACTAACAATAAAATCACACCGTTCATGATGTGCTTTCAAAAGTTATTACAACAAAATAATATGCGATTCTCTACTAAGTATTTTTATAAGAAAAGTTATCAAGCGAGCAAGCGGTTCGACTGATGTTATGTGGATAAAGTCACCCATGGAAATCTACAACACCTGAGCGTTTCCAGAAGGTCGTCACCTTCAAAAAAACTGGCCGACGGTTATCCCACTCAACAGACGAAAGATGAAACTGTAGCACTGCATAATATCGTTCATGTACCATGTTTTATACTTTATAAAAATAGAGAATACATTTTGTGTGTCGTGGGCAGAAAAGTACCGACGATAGTGTACAATGAAGACAAGCAGTGAATTAGGAGAGTGTCAGATCGTTGAGCCGTAAGAAAATTAGCGTAGTCATCGGGACCAACCCGCCGGGCACCCACAGGAGGGCGCTGCAGTTGCCCTTAATCCTGCAGTCGTCCAAGCCCCGGATTTATGCTTCCAAATGAAAATCTGAATTCCGATATGCAAATAGAATGGGCGAATTTAAAAGCATAGATTTTCAGCTGGCCGAAGCACGATTAAACGGCTGACCTTATGCGAGGGGCAAATACGAATTTCCCTATGACAATAATGGCTGCCGCAGAAAGCTCAGTGTGCGATTTATGGGAAATGCGTTAACGGTCTGCTGGTTTCCCGTAGTTCGTGGGTTCTAAATGCGAATGCATGGCAAAAACAATAAAACTCAGCCACCACCCTTCCCCGTGGAGTCATGATAGTTGAATTGAACCAACATAGTAAATTAAAACTCATTGCAACTTGGAAAACAAAACAGCCTTAGTAACAGCCTTTATATTATATCTCACGGACAGACGGACTGTCTTAGGGCATATCACGCCATCTTCAAAAAAGAGCTGTCCGAGCAATCTATAACATCGGAGCCCGGAATACACTCAGAGACCTTTTTAAAGAGATTAATATACTCACTGTTGCGTCTCAATATATTTATTGTAACATTTTGTATGTTAAAAATAATATTAATAGTTATCTAAAGAATAGTGACAGACATAAACTAAATACTAGAAATAAGGACAAACTAACTACGCCATTGTTTCGTTTACAAAAAGTAAACAGGTCGTTCATGGGGCAAGGTGTGCGCATGTATAATAAAATCCCACAGTCGATATTAAGTCTGCCACTTGATGAATTTAAACGAAAAATTAAAAGTAAACTTATGGCTAAAGCCTATTATTCTATTGCTGAATATCTTGACGACGCCAATGTGTGGGGTTAATACTGTTGATACTCACGTAGGCTAAAACAAGACTATTGTACATGTACTATTATATTGTAAACTGATTTTTTTTTTAAAAAGAGCAACTGTTGAGTTTCTTGCCGGTTTCTTCTCAACAGAAACTGCTTTCCGAACCGGTGGTAACTTACGAACGTGTTCATTTCTTGTAAAATTTTGACGTTTCATAAGAACGCGCAAGCGTCTATGTGAATAAAGATATTTTTTATTTATTTTTTATTTTTTTTTATTGGAACCAACCGCGGATTAGCAGACTTGACATATCTGCAAAATATTTCTTTTATCAAATCGCATATCGTCACGAAGCCTTCATCTCCAAACGCATAGTAAATCAGCACTGAAAAATTAAGTTAACGATTAAACTGGTGCTGGCAGGGAGATTTGAACTCGAGTGGTAGGGCCACACAGTAGCCACGGCTGTTGCACGAATGGGCAGGCTAGTCCGGGTAAGTACCACGACCTCACGGAAGACCGGCGTAAAGTGGAAGTATAACACATACTTTCGCGTTTCGTCTGGTAAGTGAGGTAGCCGGAGCCCAATTTTCAAAAGGTTGTCAACGCATCTATAACCCTCGGGTGTAGCAGATGTCCATGGGCGGCGGTATTCACTTAACATCGGGTGAACAGTCTGCTCGTTTGTCAACTTTTTACATAAAAAAAGGTTGCTTTAGTATCCTGAATTTAAATCTCTACGTCAGCTCAATGGACGTAGCTCTTGTATTTGCGTATGGCGCAAATAAATAATTTCAAACGAGATCTCTTTTTCTTGGTCCGTCGTTGAAATAGTTTGATTTCAAATGTCACAAACTCTCCTTACGAATGGTAATAATATAAAAAACGAACAAGAGGTGTTTGACGAAGTTTCCGTCGGTCAATATTGAACGGGTAAGAAATTTCGACTGCGCCTTTGAAACGTCGAAGCGGGAAGAGCGAATCCCTTTGTCGAGCTAGCCGATGCGACGGGGCACAGGCCCACCGGGGGGCGAAATGCAATTGCGCTGATTGGCACCTCGGGATTTTTAAACTTTGTGCGACCTTCTTGTGCGATGAATGGTAATTTTTTTTTATTATTAGTTACGCTTGAAATTTCCTTCGAAACATTCGGTTTGGAAAATGAACGGTAAATGAGCGTGCTGGACAGGGCAGGAGGGGCGGTGGTGCCTTTGAGGGGTGGGGGAGGGGGTGCCCAACGTCCGTTAAATACTTAATGAAATGCGACGTCGGTCTCTTTGGCATTATAACGTTCACGTCGAGTGATAGACACTTAAATGCAATCGACGAGTATGGTACACGGCGATAACAGGCTAAATCATATCGAAAGCCGAATCAGATGACTTTTGTATTCCTGTTTTCAATTTGCACAGTTCGCAAAAGTTACCGAATAATAAAAGATACTTACATTTTTTTATACAACAAGATCACGTGAAGTTTCTTTAGGAACGAGCCCAATATAGGGCGCGGCTTTTCACGAACAAAGTGCCTTTTCCCCGCGGTGGCAAATTCCATATTTACCCGCCTCGGAAATTATTAGCTTTCTCACGGGACAACGCTGTCGTACGGAGAAAAAAAATATCGGAAAAATATCCCACAGGGCTTTAACCTTAACATTTATTAAACTAACTTTCTATATTATTTTAACGTTGAGTAGATACAAATTCAAAATTCGCCATCAATCCGAGTAACTTGTGTCGCTCACCGTATGAGTACTAGGTGAAGATCGGCCACAATAGTGTTCGCGAAGCCAAGGTAAGCAGGTGTTTCAGGGATCCCGTCGACTCAGTGGCTGCCGACCCCGCGCGGCGTCACGGCGAGCGCCACGTGACCGGCGCTGCTGAATGGGCGCGGGGGCTGGGGCGGGGGAGGGGGGAGGGGGCGGCGGGGGGCGCAGGGCGTAGGGCGCAGGGCGCGCGGCGATCGATAGCACCACGTGGCGCCTCCTTTGTTCCGGCCCTTTATCAACCTGCCACCGGCCGACGCGCCGGCAATGGCACCAGGACGCAGCACGCGGCGCCCGTCGTAATCCCGCGAAGTTCCCGCTCCCGGTCCTACTGCACTGCTGCATCGGCCACAGGGAGAGCGGGACTCTCGTGCCGAAAGAGAGACTCGGCGACAGCCGGAAGAGAGTATGGTACTAATCGGCCTGATGATCAACTAGAACTTATCCGCAGTGGGGTTGCGTGGTAGACTATGCCCTAACACCCTTTGTACAGGGGAGACCTTTGTCCAGCAGTGGGACATTTATAGACTGTTACGTAACTTTTATGGTGATCTAACACCATAACGCATCATTTACTTATCGACATACTTAACCTCCTGGTCGTCGCTTTTGTCATTCTGCTCATATGACACCATCAACGTTAGACGTAACATTTTTGCACTGAACTCATACGCCTGTCATTAATGTTACGAAACTGACACAATTTCATGATTCGAAGCAAAGGGAAAGTTTTGGGGGTCGCAACGATTGCTACCACCCGGTGACATGACATCGTACAATTAACTTTATTTTTAATTAACTTCCCGCGTGTAATAAGCGAAGAAAGTTAATTTGGAAACGTGCGCCGCTGCCGAGCTAATTTGAAGTACAAGTGACAGCCAGTGGCATGATTGGCAACACCTTGGATCAGTTGGAGTGAGAAATTCCATTTTGTTACCAAGCGTTTTATAAATGTTTTCTGTTAACTGTTTCAAGTGTCAGGAATACCTTGATAGCTAAATGGTAACTTATTATGTAATCGGGTTTCTAACGACGTCTCATCACACGACGCATTTAGCGCACATTGTGGTGGATGTACTTATTATCTCGACCGGGGAGGAATCTCCGGTGCAGATAATACGTTATGCCGTTGCCCTAATACACTTCTACCAACGTATTCCTCGAACATCAGTCTCGAATGGGAATTCCAATTGAAATTTGTGTCTGGATCTAAAGCACATGTATAAATTTCCCATATAACTGGCATCGCATTCAAACACTTCCTCCACCCTGCAGCAGCGTGTCTTCCTTTACATCCAATTTAGACAAGCGTGTGAAAGCTTCACACAATTATGATACTAATACTCTAGATACCCGTTTTTGAGGAAGTAAGGTGCTGCGATATTCAAAACATATTTCGGTCTAGCTCTAGATGTCAAATACTGCTCGGTCAACGTATCAGTGTTGATGCCGCGAGCTATCTAGACAACAATTCTAGCAATGATATTATAAAAAATAAGAGGTAGATATGACACTAGCGCACCGATTGGTGCAATTAGACTGCAATTCTATAGACTGCTATCTCTTTCCGTATCCTACGTTCTATATCATCCGCCACGTATATGTCATATAAAGTGGATCAATTTTTAAACGCCACGAAATATGGCCATGAGTGATCTATATTATTAAACATTGAATTTCTAGAAACAAAAGGGCCAATGATAGGACAAAAGTGATGATTTGCAAATAATTTACATGGGATGATACAACGTTACACACGGTGTTATATTGTACGCCTTCGGAGTATCAGTTTATCCACGGGACCTCATTTAACGCGGCCGGTGTGGCGAAAAACCTTCCGAAGTCCCCGTCAGCTCGCTCATGGGAAAACTATGTAAAGAGGAATTCGATCGTGACTTAACGTCTTAACTGGCCGCACCCCGTCCTTTGTTCGAGATAGCGCTTACCGTTTGCACACAGACCACCCGGATACAAGCAAATATAACCTCTATCGCGATCACATACGATCCTGGACACTTGTTCGACGCTTCGCACGGCGGGAGACACGCGTAGCGTAACGTTTGTAGAGACAAAGAGGGAAATTTGCTCTCTAAGTGATAAACAATAAGGGACGGATTGGCTTCTTTTCTCTGAGGCTTATCGGTTGGCGTTGCTCGGGCCCGGTTATTCCCACGGCGGTGGTCAAGAAGTTGCTCGTGCGGCAATTACTACGAATAGGGTTGGCGGAATAAATAAAAGATAACCTAAGGCCAGTATCTTCTCGTTTATTTTAATTTAAAAAATTTAGCAGACCAACCATACACGAAAGGTTTATTTATTATGGCAACGTTATCCTCCAATTTCGAGAAGTGCATTACTGAAAGCAATTATCCAGACAAACAGTCTCATTGCGAACGTGAAGAATTATATCAACAATCCATCAAAAAAACTAACAAACCATTTAACTTGTAACTAATGCTTGAATACTGTAGACCAAAAGCAGTAATGTTATGTATCAACCTGGCTAATTGCCCCTAGTGTGGTACCTATATTATAACTCAGAACAGACAAGTTGCCAGGCCAAGCTAACTTGACGTACAAAACCTTGGAAAGCCCCATACAAAGGATAACTTGAAACGTATATATTACTACCTGTCTAATAGTCAGGATCTAAACAGGGAACTCGTCTAATGAAGTCCACACTCCAACCATCTCGTGTGCCCATATCCAGAACTCCGAAAGCTTTCAACTCGAGCTACATAATCGCTTCCAATGCCTAGAAAATTGCAGCACTGTGGACGATATTAACGCTAAGCTCGTGGAAACTGTCCATGCCGTGGGCCTTAAATTTAATAAGGCCCGCCGCACAAATAGAACGCAAAAACTCTCCGATCACACTCTTAGCCTCTTGGGAAAAAGACGTGAGATGCGGCTGCAGTCTTCAACTGACATGTCAGACTACAGGCGGCTTAATAGGCAGATCTCCAAATACATGCGGCGAGACTTACGCAACTTCAATATAGCTCGTATTGAGGGTGCTATAGAGCGGAACCTAGGCTCAAAAGTCTTCGCCAGAGATCTGTCTATCGGACAAAGCCAACTGACTAAGTTGAAGACTGACAGCGGGGCTATCGTCTCCAGTAGACCAGAGGTTTTGAGTGAGATTGAGAGGTTCTATGGACAGATGTACACATCGTCGTTGGAGCCACACACATATGTGAGTAACGACCCAAGAGCAAAGCTTATCCGACACTATTCCGAAAATATCCCGGACGTTAGTCTGAGCGAGATTAGAATGACTCTTAACCATCTTAAGAATGGCAAAGCACCGGGAGAGGACGGAATTACAGCAGAGCTTCTGAAAGCGGGTGGAGAACCGGTACTTGTAGTCCTTCAGAGGCTCTTTAATTCCGTCCTTCAGGGTGGCACTACACCAGAGGCGTGGAGCAGAAGTGTGGTGGTGCTGTTCTTCAAGAAAGGCGATAACGCTCTCTTGAAGAACTATAGACCGATATCCCTTCTGAGCCGCGTCTATGTGCTGTTCTCAAGAGTCGTCTCGCTTCCAGACTCGACGACTTCCAGCCTCCCGAACAAGCCGGATTCCGAAAAGGCTTCAGTACCATAGACCACATACACACCTTGCGGCAGATTATACAGAAGACCGTAGAGTATAATCTGCCTTTGTGCCTAGCGTATGTGGACTATGAGAAAGCCTTCGATTCTGTCGAAATTTGGGCGGTACTCCAGGCTCTTCAGCGGTGCCAAATTGACTGTCGGTATATCGAGGTGCTGAGGTGTTTGTATAACAAGGCTACGATGTCCGTCCAAGTACAGTCCAGTAGTACAAAACCTATCCAACTGCAGAAGGGTGTAAGACAGGGTGATGTCATATCCCCGAAACTCTTCCCCGCTGCGTTGGAAGATGTTTTCAAGCTTCTGGACTGGAAAGGACGAGGGTATTAACATCAATGGCGAATACATCACCCACCTCCGATTTGCCGACGATATAGTCATCATGGCAGAATCGCTGGAGGACCTTAGTACTATGCTCAATGACCTCAACAGTGTCTCCCAACGGGTGGGCCTTAAGATGAACATGGACAAGACGAAGATCATGTCTAATGTCCATGTCACGCCAATACCGGTTGTTGTTGGGAGCACTGAGCTCGAAGTTGTTGACGAGTACATTTACCTAGGACAGTTAGTCCGGCTAGGTAAGTCCAACTTCGACGCAGAGGTCAATCGGCGAATCCAACTCGGATGGGCAGCGTTCGGGAAACTACGGCAAATCTTCTCGTCAAATATACCTCAATGTTTGAAGACTAAAGCCTTCAATCAATGTGTGTTGCCAGTGATGACCTACGGAACCGAGACGTGGTCCTTCACTGCTGGCCGTATGAGGAAGCTCAAAGTCGCTCAGCGAGCTATGGAGCGGGCTATGCTCGGTATTTCTCTGCGTGATAGAGTTCGTAACGAAGACATCCGCAGTAGAACTAAGATAACCGATATAGCTCAGAGGATTAGCAAGCTGAAGTGGCGATGGGCCGGCCATATAGCTCGTAGAACCGATTACCGTTGGGGAAGAAAGGTTCTCGAGTGGCAGCCTCGTACTGGCCATCGCAGTGTAGGACGACCCCCCACTAGATGGAGTGACGACCTGTGCAAATGTGCGGGAAGTCGATGGATGCAGGTGGCTCAGGATCGTACTTCATGGCAGCCTATGGGGGAGGCCTATGTTCAGCAGTGGACTCAAACAGGCTGAAATGATGATGATGATGAAACAAGGAAGAAACTTTAAAACTTGCAGTGCGCCGAGCAAACGGAGCCTAGTGACGTCTGCAGGCAGCCTAAAGCTCCCGAGCGGAGCGACCTAAGTTAATTTGCAAACTAATACCTCAACAGGCAGCCCGCGCTGTCGGCAGAAGCAACACTTCGCAGGGGATTACAAAATATCCCCTCTACTTTTACGTTCAAGATTCTACGCTCCAAGTGAATAGAATTTAGACGAGGGAAATTATTAAAAAAACATATTGTAGATTTATTGATTTATTTCGGTCGGTGGTTCATTACATTTTAGCAATGCTTAGCTCATTTGTTTTGAGGGTCTAGGCGCAGGTTCGAATCCCGCAGCGCCGCAAAATTTTTCGACAATTTATTTATGAACCTTAAACACCGCAACAAGAAGAACACAACAGATCCAAGAACCAACAACCCTATTTGTCGTCACGAAATAGTGGCGTGGCCGCGGCTACAGTTATTACTACGCATAATTGCAATACTCTGGTTTGCAGAGCAGATTAACGGGATTGAATTTCCGACCAATAGTTTCTGAAAACACAAGCAACTCCAGCGCGGAGCGCGACGTGCACGTCCTTTGTGACTCCAACGAAACAGAACAATAAAAGCCAACGAGCCGCTTCCAACTGAACTTTTTACACTGGCGGCCCAAAGAGAATTGGCAGGGTAAAAGGCGCGAGGGCGACGGGGCGATTGGCGCCCTTGCCAAGTCGGAACGAGAGGGCCGATAACGTTTTATTGCTAAATGAGGACAATGGACCGCTAGGAGGGAATCTCGAACATTTGAATGTCAAATTTTCCGTAATAGAGTACGATGTCTCGCGATAACTCGTGCGAGGGCGGCGTTAAAATTATATACAAACGATACATAAAATAA